TTTTTTCGAAAAACTCTGAAATGTTCGCCTCAGAGAACGCAGAAACGCGGTGAAGGGAAATCGCACATGCCCGTGTACGGGAAAATATAATAAAAAATACTTATGAATTAATTAACCGACTCTAATAGGAATACGTATAATGAACGTGTATAATTCGCGGGCGTAACACAACTGCTAATTACATTAGAAGATATACAAAAGATAACGAAAAAATCTCTGTCTGTTTTTATGAAACAGCAATGTTTACTTACTTAAAGGAGAATAAACGCGGTGAAAGGAGATACGCACGTATGTAAAAAAAAAAAAATGCTAATTAAACGATGGAATTCTGTAAGAACAAAGGTAAACAGGTTACACGACGATGGATGGTGAAGTGTGTGTCCGCCTTAACTCTCTTACCCGAGCTCTCTTCGACACTTCGTATTCTTGAGCCAACACTCGGTACTTTGATTGAAGAGGATTCGAGCAAGAGAGTGGAAACACTTGCGACATACGCGGCATAACATCATCCGTCGTGTCGTACAATGTGATTTGTACCTTTATTTATTTTCAAAAACGGAGGAGAATTTATATTCCAATTTAAATTTCGTGTTAAATACAAAATTCGATTCCTCGAAATGTATCGAGAGAAAATGGTCAATGAGAATTCAGGGTGTGCGAAATATAATCGAGATCAAAATTTATTATTTTAATTAATATATCGTCTCCGCGAGACGCGTTCCGACGACCGTACGAATTCCCGACGGTCAATTTTCAATTTCTATGCAAAACGGTACAAATATATACAATTATAAAAATACAATAAATTTTAAACTCGTGAAAGTTCACAACTGGCAGGTAGTTTTTTAAGGTCAGTACGAGAGCCGATGCGCTGGATGTACGCGCAAGTATATTTTTATACGTGTAAATTAATACAAATATAAAAGTACATTTTTATATTTGTATTTTTTACGTGTAAATTAATAAGTAATTTGAAATTCGAATTGATTTCAATTCAAAAATTCATTTAAGATGTTTAATTTGCGTCTCCAATACATAAGTTACTCATTTTTTATCCCTCGATAAAATTGAGAAAATTCATTGCGAAAAAGAAATCTTAGATCAAGAGAGACTCGTTATCTTAAAATTACCTGCTAGTTATAAAAAGTACAAATTAAAAAAACTCAATATAAGATAAATTCAATTAATTTCGTACGCGCAACTTAACAAAAATTCGTCGGCAAGTCGCTTTTTCGCGTCGTAAAATTTTTTCTCTCGAAAATAGACGCTTCTTTCCGCTTCCTCTTTAAAAAGAAGATCGGTTACTTAACTATTATTCATAGGATTCATCGCTCGTTATATTCTTCGCTCAAAGTTACGCCGCGTTAATCTCGCGTCAATGGAATTTGTAATAAAACAGCGTCTTCTCGCGCACTAAAACAAAAAAAAAAAAAAAAAAAACAGCAAGAAACAGAGGAGTTTTTGACTCCGAGCGATCCCGCCACGCTTGGCAAATTACAAACAACGCAAAGAGGCAAGAATATAACTGCATTTTATACAATAACACGAGCGCCGCAGAGTTAAGAAACCATGAGAAAGAGGAAGGAGAGCGAGGATGTAATCGAGACTGCGCTCGGGTTGCAACTCACTGCTGCGGGAAATTCTGTAAATTTCGCTACGAAAGAGATGTGTGTAATTTTAATAAATATTTGTTCGGATTTTTTATTTCAAGAGAAGGGAAGAGACTAAAGTGCACGGACAAGAAAAAAAAAAAAGTAACGCGGCGAGCGAAAAGCGTGTATGTAACGAACGAGATGTGAAAAGATCTAGTTAGGAATATGAGAAAAACGCGCGCATGAGAGCTCGGGAGCGGATTCCAAGAGAGCGGAGCGTTTAAATCGCAAAAAAAAAAAACAAATAATTTTGTGGTGCATACCGGACTCGCGTGTGGTACGTGCGAGTGCAGCGCACACGCGTGCGTTTGTATACCTGTGGGCGCGCCGCCGCGTGACTTTCTCAACGCGCGCGGATTTTTTTTTTTTTAGCGGGAAATAAGTAATAATTTCGCGATCGATCGATTAAAACCGATCCGCGCGTGTGGAGTTGGTTGTCGTGACAACAGGCGAACAAAGTGAATTTAAAACAGTGACGATTTCACGTGTTCAACCACCGGAACGATCGAACTGACTCGTCGAAGTGACGGATTTCTCATTTTAAATGCGGAAACGTTCCGAGTGGCTATTTTTTTTCTATTTTAACAAGAACGATAAAAACAAACGCGGAATATTAAACATCTTTGTGGCCGAAAGCTCTTTTTTTTTTTTAAATTAATTGTTCAAGTACGAGAGAAACTGAACGCAAAACGTTTTCTATATCCGTCAAATTGACGTGAGCGAAACCGGGCGTGCGTTCAACTCTGTTCCAAGTGTTGAATAAGAATCTCATCTCTCGCGGCTATTGTTGTCGAGAGAATTGATTTTGCGAATGTCAACAATAATAATTTGCGTTACACTGTAGGTTTCACGCTCGGACCTGATAAGGGCAAACCGAAACGGAATCCCTCCTCCATCTTTTCGTTGACGACGAGAATGCGATTGATATTTCTGCGTACGCATTGTCGCGATCGCGCAACCCTCTCGTGTGTGTGTGTGTGTGTGTGTGTGTATGTGAACGCGCGTATTTTCCGCCATCGAAAGGCGTGTAAGGTGATCGATCTCTCGCGTCAATTTCGCAAATTCCGACACACGCGGCGAAGTGGAGGAATCCGGAGAAGGAAAAGCGAACGGGCGGGCGGCAAAAGCGAGAGAGAAAGAAGGCTTCCTTCGAGAGATAACGGGGGAGGGAGAGGAAGGGGAGTGAGTGCGAGAGAGGGACGCCGCAGGAGTACAGCAGGTACCTACCTGCAACCTACCTGTGTTCCCAACTCCAGTCACCGATCGAACACTCGAGAGATCGGTCACATCATCGCCGATAGATTTCCTTCGCGACCCCGCGGGTGCGCGCGATCGAGAAGAGATTAAAAAACGATCGCGACGGTGTATGTGTGTTTTTTTTTTTTTTTTTCCAGCGGTGCGAGATACTCTGGAACGATTGTATATCGGACGGACGCGAATTGAAGGAAGCGGTGATATGAGACGCTGGTACGTCTAATTGAGGATTTTGTTCCGCGCGAACCAATTAACGGACTCTTATTGATCGAGGAGAAGGTACGCGATGTTCTCCCCTCGTGTGTTCGAACGATTATATTCGTGTGACGATTTCTCGATACGATACGAATTTCGCACGCGATTGCGCGAAAAAAAACCTAGGTGCGATCTACGTTACAAAAGCGATTCACGTTTTTTTTCCCCGCGATCGAGAAAAGACGATGTTGCAGGAGAGCGAGAATTTCAATCGCCGGAGCTAAAGTTGACGTATCGATAACTCTCGCGGCTTATTTGCGCTCGTATAAACAATCGGAGACTGTATTGTGTCGATCCAAGAACTTTTTTGCAGTTCTTTGTAAACGCGTATTTCCAAATTTTTCAACGTAAAACGAGTAAAAATGGGGGAAAAAAGAATCGATGTGTGAAAGCGGTAAAAATGTTCTCCGCTTAAATTGCGAAACGGATTGCGTTTAAAATCGGATACGGAGCAAAAGCTGGGAAAACAATCGAGTGAACAAGTGCGGAGATTCCGCGCGAGTGCTGGCCAATCGTGAATTCTCACTCCCCGGTGAATGTAATAATAATCTCCATCAAAGCTCCTGAAACGCGCGCGAGCGCGCGTTGCTCTGAAATACCTCGGCGGGCCGTGGTAGTAAAGAGAGGGAGGTCCGTTACCTATGTTTATTCACGAGCAAAGTGGAAGATTCGACTAGGATGTTCGCCGTGTTCAAGTCGGTGTTGCGATTAACTCTTAAATTAATTATTATCATCGTTCTCCGGAAGAAAAAACGCGAATTTTTATATTTTATGCTAAAAAAAATGAAACAGTTTTGAAACTTTTAATCGTATTCATTAACATTCGATCGTATGGAAACTGGTTTTGATTATTATTTATATTTAAAAAAGAAATTTACACAATTCGAGATAATTTGGTTTTTTGGTAAATATATATATATTGTAAAATCACGGATAGACGTCAAAAATGACTGACGAGTCGGACAGACTGGGTCTGTGAGACCCCACGTGACTTTAAAATCAAATATCTCCGCGAAAAGTCAATATTTTTTCACTTTTGTCTCATTGAGTCGAAAGTTTGAACGATTTTGCGTCGATAAACAAAAAATAAATTGAAAAAATCTCTGGTAGTGACGAATATAATAAGCGTTTAAAAAAGAAAAACTAATTTTTACCGGAAACGTCGATGCGCAATTTTCGAGTGGGTCTGGAAGACCCATATCTATCTGTGAAAGATTATAAATAATATTGTTTTATTGATTATCATATTTAAAAACACTTATTTACAGAAGTCTTGAGATAATGTGTTTTTTTGGTAAAAATATATACTTAAAAAAATGTCATTGGAATTCTCTGTACATTACGGTATAGTTATTTTCACTCGCGTAAGTTTACTATACGTCGGGATTGCTTGTTGAATTAATTAACGTGCGATTGAAATAAAATACGCTTGATGGTCAACAAGTCGGAGAATCGCCGTGCATATCTTCGTTTTAATTTCAAATGAGCAATTTTTGCGTCTGACTGTGTGACATTGATAAATGCCGTCGATATCAGAATTTTGTTCTATATATAAATTACTACAACTGCGCGTTCCACAAACGAATCTAACCATGACGATCTTGAAACCGGAACTCGTTTTGATTTGATGCAACGACGCTTCGCGACAGCTAGAATAAATGATATTTAAGCGGAGCGTAGGGTTTTTAACGATGTAAAAATGATAAGTAGTTAATGAGAACAATGATGGTTTAGTTATTAAAAAGAAACTATGTACCGGGCGGAAGGAAAAAACTACATTGCCGATAATGATTCGCTATCTTTGTACAAACAACGGTATTCTCTCTTCTTTTTTTTCAGATAATTGCGATCCTGCGTATATTACCAGCCGGATTAGCAATTACCACATTCAACGATCTGCTTCAAATTCGACGGAGCGCGATCGTTCGCCGTCACAGGAGTTAGATCGAAAATCGCCGACAGTTTAGAACAAATTCATAAGATACACGTCGAGGCTACGCAAATTATTTTTTTTACACAAACCTCTTACGCAGCCTCTAAGAGTTCAAGAAACAAAAAAGCATAATTGAAGCATAATTTGTGTCAGAGACACGATAATTCAGTATTTTTGTATATCTATTTTCTTAGGATACCCATAATAAAAATAAAAAAAAGCAAATAGATCGAAAGAGGATTTTACACCCACAGTATTTTAAAGTCGATTACATCGTACTTTTGAATTTAAATAAATAAGTAAAAAAAACACAAATTCGCGAATACTACAAAGAAACAGAATACGCTAATGAATTCAGCGCCGCCGGTGTTGAAAATGTACCGGCACGCGATCGGGTTCGATGCAACGTCAACTGAAAACTTGTGGAAATCTTACAAATCGAGCGGAAAGCAATTGAAACATTGAAGAAATTCAATCTTCCGTAAAAATCTCGAGTCGAGCGGCGATTCTTCAACGAAAAGACGAAATTACGAGGAAATTACGGGAAATTATTTCCGAACGACGGAGAAAAGAGACAGAGTGAGATAAGAATCGCGACGAGAGAGAGACACGCGATTATCATAAAAGTCAACGATGCACAGCTGATTTCAATCGCGCGAGGAATCATGGAGGACGCAGTGACGGTCGCGCTCGATTCCACGGTGAGAAGTCACAATTCAAGTCACTCGAAAGAGTCGAAGGACTCCGTGAACTCGGAGTCAAAGCCGGAGAGTTGTCTGGAGTCGAAACATTCCAAGGATGTCCTCATTCCGGAAAAGCAGCAACAGCAGCAGCAGCAGCACCACCATCATCATCATCAACAGCCGCCGAAGCGCTCGGAAGATCGGCAAGATCTGCGAGCGATCTCCGAGATCAAGGACGACTCGAATTTGCTCATGTTTACGTCCTGCGGACAATTGTTGCTCGGTGAGTGTCAGAGAAACAATTTTAAGCTTAAAACCGACACGATGTTCCGCGCATCAGTCGGGTCAGTTTTTTTTTTTTTTTTTTGAACATTACTTTTGAACTCGAACTTTTTCTCGAGAATGTTCTTTAAACGGACGCATGTATGCTCTCTACAAATACAATCCTTGTGTGTATGAAATTAATTAATTAAAACAATTAGTTTCGCAACGTGATATACAAGCAAGTAATTAAAGCGGCGATGTTACTGTGCGGCAAAATTCGTGCGTGCGTTTCGAGAAATCACGAAACGAAATGTATGTGTACATACATAAATCAGAAATCTGTACGTACGTAAGAGTGAAAACATTTCACTTAGAAAGTCGCGCAACAACATATTTTGCTCGATTGCGAGGCATAGCGCATGTCATTTTTGAAAAATCCACAATTTGTTACCTCGCTCGCGAATCCAGGACAAAACTGGTAACGCGCGATTGTTTCTCGTCGCGGTGCGTATTGCACGATATAACTGTCGTGCGAAAGCGGAGTTCGATTCTGCACGCGAAATTTCGCTCGTTAATCAAACGTCGCCGACGTGGTCAAACGATCGAGGATCGTTTATTTCAGGCATGAATGACTTCGCCTCAAGTAAAACGCGAAGTTAAAATTTAAAAAATCAAGAGCAGTCTATATAATATACAAAAATAATATAATAAATAATATCTGATAATTTATTTATATATTATAAAAAAAAAATATGTACGACTTTTCCAAAAAAAATCGAAGAAATCGATAATTTTGTGTTACTTTGCATTTTCCAGGTGTCGTTCTGGTAGTCTTTGGCGTTCTGGTGCTCGTCCACGGCGCCGCTTTGGGTGGTTCCGGTGCGGGACTTTGGGCGGGCGCGGGTGCCCTAGTTGCCGGTTCGCTAGGAGTGGTTGCAACTTTAGCAACGTCGTCCACCAAACCAAATTCTGCTTTCTCGTCAGCTCATCTCGCATCCAGCCTGATCGCTCTCGCCCTCTCGAACATGGCCGCCATAACAGCTCTGACGGCGGTTGTAAGGGATGCGCAGAGAACACCGGAAATGTCACTTCTCACCCTCTCGGTACGTCTTCTATATAATTGTCTGTTAAAAATAAGGACTCATTGTTGAAGTACGCGATATTTTGAAATTGGCTTAGTTAACGATTTTGTGATCCTCGCTCGCCGCATTTGTCAAAACGCCTCGCTGCGAATAATCGGCCGTGTTAGGCCGGCCGATCGGATTGACCGGTTTTGGCAAACATGGCTCATGCCCTGATGAAACCGTTTGACCGTCGGAGAAAGTTTCCAATGCCAAGGCTAAAACGCGGTCAGGTCTCGCCAGCACCATGAAATTCCACGGATCGCGCGGCTGTGGAACGTATAGGAAATTACCGTCGTGTGTAACTCGCGGGCAGATTTTGCGCTAAATACCCGAGTTAGCGCAAGCATTAGCGCGCGCGTTGTAATAAACATTTTTTCTCGTGAAATTCTGCTCTCGCGCAACTTGAAACTGTTGTTCGAATTATTGTTGCAATTTACTAAAAAAAAAAAAAAAGAAAAAAAAGAAAAAAAAAGAAAAAAAAACAATTTTGAAAATCGTAATATTCTTGTAGTTTTTAAAAATGTTTTTTATTTTTATGTTAACATTAGTTGCTATTTTTTTATGTACTTTTTTAATACAGCAATGAGATCAATAGATAGCTTGAAGGAGGAAATTCCTGTGTATGTTTCAGGTTGACAACAACAACGTGGTGGAGGTGGACGACGGCTTGGCCGGTTTGCTGGCGAGCATCGGCCTGCTGGTAGCTAGCGTAGCGGAGCTGCTGGTGTCCGGCTACAGCTGCCTGACCTTGACACCGAAATTGTGCGGCTGTTTGCGAGCGAACGCCGCGGACGAGACGGCATTGGCGAGCGACGGCCATCTGAAGACGCACAACATGGTCCACCAATGGGTCATCGCGCAGAATCACGTGCCCGCTAAGAACCAACAGCCGCCGTTCTACGTGGTGCGACCGATGACGATGCCGATGCATCCCATTATTCAAGTAAGCGACCTGTTCTTCTCCCATGACCTCTAACAATCGTTCGACCTTTCGTTTGGCCGGGATGACGGGAGAGTAGGGAGATAGGTCAGTGACACAAGCGCGCTAGAAAGTTCAAACCGAAGAGAAACTCCCGCAAGTGAAACTCTTTGCGCGCTTTATCGTATCCGAGTGTGCAACAACAAAAAACAAAATCTCGCATCGTGGAAAGACCAACGTGTATAAACGTGTTTATTGGAGCAAACGACATTTGTGACGGGATTGTTGCATAAGTCGCTTTGAAATAAATGAGAGAAATTACGTGAAGATATAAGGGACACACGGGTTTAGTTAATTGCGAATAATTGCATGTTGCTTGTAAAAAAAAGCATAATATATAAATAGCGCGCGAATTTTGTAACACACAACAAGCATCTCTCTGCACAGTTCTTGCGTTCGTAATGTCTGTAATAAGAAAGACGATGAATGACTGTAATATAAAAGGATGCCGCGCGCAATTACAGCCGCCGTACGGCATCTCAGCGGGGCCCGGCAACTTTCCGCCCGGAGGATTTGTGCCCGCTGGAACTCTTTCTATGCCCGCACCGACGCCGTACGCTGCCATGCCCGTTCTGCCCCACATGCCCGCTTACGCCGGACGACCACCGTCTCAATTGGTGAGATTTCGAGCATATAAAGCAGGCGAAATTCTAACACATCTTAATAAATTGGTGGCTGAAGTTACATTAAGTTTAATTTTAAATTTCTAAAATAAATAATTCAGCTGCGACATATATTAACAAGAACCAGACCTTCAATCAGAACTTTAATTCATTAAAAGAGACCATAGCTCGGCATACACACAAAAGATGTCGCACGAAAACATCTCCTTGGACACGTCTTTTAATGCACCTTCTGCTTTTTATTCTTTTTTACTAATTGCGAATGATAATCTGTTAGTAATCGATCATTTGAATTTAGTTACGTACCAAACACAAACGTCAGTCGAACGCGAACACGGAGGAATCGGAGAAAAAGCGGGAGACCAAGCACGAGTCGTCGTCGAAAAAGACGTCATCGATCGGCGGCGAGGATCAAGTAGATCTGGCACAGACCTATACGGGACTGGACAAGAAAATTTCCGAGGAATTTATTTCGATCGCAATGGATCCGGATAGAAAATCAAAGGCTTCGAGTCATCACGGCAGCGAAATCGGAACTACGAAAACATTTTGATGATTTCGATTGTTTGAAAGAGTTGTTTGTTTTTTTACGTATATTCGCGACTGTTCTGAGAATGATTTATTATTACTCCTATTCGTAGATTGTGTCACCAAATTCATCGCGAAGTGTGCAGAGAGAAAGATCGAGGTTGATTGCGAGAAACCTTTGCATTAATCAAATGTTAAAGCGTTTATCACATTGTTGGCGCGACATATCCCGAAATTAATTGTTGATCGTTGCTTCGAGTATCGTGAGCGCTTCCGTTTTTTTATTGAGTAATTTTACAAATGATAAAAAAAAACACTAAAACCAATATAACGTCTAAATAACTTACGCATAATGTATCTATAAAAAAAAACTTAGAAGAGTAACAAACACTTATATAGTTATATATTTTACATAGTAATATATATGAAGCTTTTACGTACATAAGTAGTTATATCTATTGTTCTTTGTTTTCGGAATATTGTCCGCTTCTACCACGGAAACGGACAAATTCTGTAGTTACCTGACAATTACCTGATGAACATACTCGATCTATTTGTTTTTTTTTTTTTTTTGTTTTTTTTCTTAAACTTCTTTGATAGAAGTTCAAATGTTTGCTATTAGATAATGCTTTTTTTGATGATTATAAAGATATTGATATTTCTATTTACGTCGCGAATAAAATTCATCTCGCGCGAGTAAAAAAAACGAACGACTGTATATTGCACTTTGTTGCGGGAACTATTGCAATAAATAAAATTACGATGTTATGTTACATTTTTCGTTTAATAGTCAGCTTTTTTTTTAATCTTATTTTTACAATGTACTAAATATGTTATGAATTTACATTACATAATTGTTATGTTGTACAGTCATGGCTTCTTGGCTCTTGCTTACAATAGCTTAATCACGGTTATGTATATAACATATATATTTAAATATATTTTGTTATATGATATCACACATTGCTTGAAATTAACGTTTGTCAAGCAGCATAATGTTCCGAGTAATGTAAAATTGCGCGCTTTGAAATATTAGCGCTGTGAAAAAAAAAAAAAGAGAACAGTCAATAAAGACACTTCTATCGAATTACAGGATACGTTTATTATCACTTGCGTTATTATTACTAATTTATAACATCATAGTTATTTCATAAAATCCCATTTGTAAATATTTGTTTTTCAGTGTTTAACTACGTCAACAAATGTATAACAGGTTATATATCAAGTAGTTGTTCACATAAAATAAAAAAACGTTTAGTATACTGGATAAAATACGCATGCGCAAGCTTTTTTTATATACGTTATTAATATGTTTGAAATAAATTTATGTCACAGTTGTTGAAAATATTCAAACGACGCGCCGGACTTGTATGAGACTAGTTTCTACACGTCAATGAGTTTGAATTGCATCGGCGACACTATCGTGTTTATTACTTGCGCCTCGAATTTGAGCGGCTCGTGATGCCATTCAATCCGGAAGTTTCGCACGACCTGAAAGAAACGCGCGCTCTTTTAATTGATCTGCTTCTTTTGTTTTTTTCTTTTCTACACACGTTTATCTCTGATAAAGATCTAGTTATCGTAATTGATCGATTACAGATTGTGCAGAAGCGCAACACAATACACACACACACACACACACACGGCACTAAAGATGTTTTATAAAAAATATACAAACTGCCAAGAGCAACGTCTGAAGTTCCATCTCGGCAAATCTCCGGCCAATGCACATACGAATACCGAATCCGAAGGGCATGTACGCAAACGGATGCGCTTTCTTGAATAATGAGTTCTCCCGCAACCATCGTCCGGGAAAGTACTTGTCCGGTTGCGGAAACTGCGTGGGATCCATCGAGATCAGCTGGTGGCAGGCGATAGTGTTAAACTGAAAGAGATACGAGCAAGGGCTGTTAAAGCGAGTAGGTTTTGTTTTATTTTTTTTTTTCTTGCACTCAGTGCTAAACTTCTCTTGCAAAGTTTTGTGCAATTAAAAATTTTTTTTTTTTTTTTACATTCCTATTATTACTCATGATAAAATGGTGAGAGAAAACAAACGTACTCCTGCTGGTATTCTGTATCCTCCTATGGAAACGTCCTGTCGCATGGTTCTCAGGACGCCACTGGTGACGGGTAACATTCGCATGGACTCCTTAATGCAGGCCTTCGCGTACCTGGATTGATTCAGGATGTCTATCGTAATGGGCGAGTCTTTGTCCGGTAACAGGGTCGTCACTTCTCTTCGCAGATGTTCCTGGACGTCTGGACTGATTGCGATGTGATACAGCAGACCAGCGGCCGTGTTGCCGACCTGCAGAAGATATTTGTTTACACTAATGGTCACATAATTGTTTTTCTCATAGAATTGATTTACTCCCACATGTAGTCGATGTTTAAAAAACATCAATGTTAACAAATATATTTTGTAATACATATATTAACAAATGTATCTTATGTATTTCTTCAACGAATATTTAATTATCTTTGTTTTTATCGCATTGAATATTATAATTATATATTATCAAAAAAATAAATTATATTAATTTATCAATTTATCTTATATAATAGAAAGAATCGCAGTTTCGTTTCAGGAGCTGTTTGTTCATCGATGTGTGTGTGTGCGCGTCGATAAGAAACGTCCACGGAGACAAATCTCGCAGTTACCGTATCAATGCCACCCATTAGCATGTCCAGCGCCATTGTGTGAGCCGTTCTCTCGTCAATGCGCAAAAGTTTCTGCAACACGCTACAATCTTGCGTATAGTTGTGCGTTTTCCATTGAAATTTCAGTTTAGCCTGCTCGATGTATTTTTGAGAAGTTCTAAAATGTAAATAAATAACGGTGAGCGCAGTATATTCGCGAGTACAGTCTGTTACATTCAAACGTATTTATTATACTCATTAATTGTGTCCAGCAAATGAAACAGTCGCTTTAGATCCGGTGTGTTGTAAACCTTCCACATTGACGGCAGATTTTCCAGACGGTGCAGCAAGTTGAAAATTTTAACCACGGAATTAATCATTACTTGCGGTTCCGAGTCCGGGGCAAGATTCCGATTTAAACAACCCAATCGGCAATTCAATGCGATCGTGCTCGAGCCTGTTGCAAAAATTATACATCGAAAACTTGTAAAAAAAATGTTGATCTCTCCGTCATCAGTTTCAAAACGTTTAGAATTAATTCACGGAGTTTATGTATGAACGCGATATTAATAATATAAAAAATTTATATACAAACGAAATGTTTTCATCTCTTATTCGGGTTGTCAAAATAAAAACTTTGAAACGTGCGACGCGTTTGCGCGCTTACACTCCAAAGACCACTTGAACAGTTCGTTCTTGAAGTTACTCGGTAATTCGTGAGTTTCGGGATTTCGCAACGCTCTCATCATCTTCACAAATTCGTAGGTCACCTCGCTAATCTGCGAGATGTGCGCTTCAATTGCCTGCGGTTGCATCATGTGCGCATTTACCTTGGTGCGTAACTCCTGCCACGGTTTTCCCTGACTGAAGGATGAAAAAAAAAAAAAAAAGAAAAACAAAACATCAGCGACAGTAGAAAAGACGGCGGCGCACACATTGCGCGCGTAATTGACGTATAATATTTTCCGACGCATATATTGCGGAAAATTGCACGAAAAAACGCAGAAAAAGTAAACAAAGCGAGACTTTGTTTTCGTTTTCTTTCTCTCGTCCCACGTTTCTTTCTTTCATCAATTATCATGTCTACTCTGACCTTACTGCGAGGCCGTACTGTCCACGATAGATATGTTCCCTGTTCTTGCGATAGCAAAGCAAGCTCTCCAAAGAGATCCTCATCGGCCATGGGCCGTCCGTGCGATACATGTTTTCGCACAGCTCCGGCGAGAACAGAAAGACACACGGTCGACGATTCAACAAGCCGTCCATTTTTACGATGTCGCCGTAATTCTTGCGCAGCGCGCGGAATTGCGTTACAATATCCATATTATCGAATTCGCCTGTTATCACGTTCATCACGTTTCATTTCGTTATCTCATCTCATTATGTCAATAAAAGTCGCACGAATTAAGTTCACGTTAAGATCAAAGTAAAAACAAAAACACACACACACTGGAATATAAAATATCACGTGTACATTACAACCCTTCGCGTACAGACATGGGTCTTTCAGACCTACTCAAAAATTTCAAGGTGTCTAGTAAAAAATAATTTTTTTAAACGCTTATATCTTCAAAACGTGAAATTTTTTCAAATTGTTTTTTTATCAACGCAGAATCGAATCAAATTTTCGATTCAAAACAACAAAATTGAAAAAAAATTGATTTCTCGCGATATTCGATTTTAAACTCGCGTGGAGTCTCACAGACAATTTGTAAAGAGTTATTTATACACGTATTCCTCTTATACAAACGTCGATGTTACAATGTCGAAACGACGGGACACGCGCGTGTGTTTGAATTTTACATTTAAATCTTTTCTCGAACAGTACGACTATAAATCGAGCAAATAAAAGTACCGGGCGTGAGAAGAAAGAATTTTCTTACCTATGTGAGGTATAAATCTAAACCAGTTGCCAAATAAAGGTATCGCTTTTGGGCCGGGAATATTCTCGGTTGGCTGCGCGTATTGCAACAACTCGACGTGTGTATTTTCGTCAAGCGCGATCGAAAATTTACTTTTCTTCGGTCTAGCGCGACGTTGCACATGCAATATCGTATGTAAGACGTTGAGAAATTTGACGCGCGTCATTTTAGTAGATTTATTGTGACTTTGTTCTATCCCGCAATTTCAAGAGATTCTAACTTTTGACCGGTTATACGTTTTTTGTTTTCGGTATTACTTTCTTGTTTGTCGCGCACCAAACAACAACTGACTCTTTTCTCGTTGTCTCTGATTTCGGCTTGCTTGTTTGTTTCTAACTTTGAACGTCATATCTACCTACCGTTTCGATGTCCCCCGATGTGTTATTGATAATGATTACGTTGAAGAAAAACATACAAATTGTACAACAGTTGGGAGATTTTATCACTTGCGATTAAATCACAATTTTGTGAAACCGTGATGAGGATTTTTAAAAGTAGTTTTATCACACAGTGATAATCTCTCAAATTCAATAGGAAACTGAACAAGCTCATAATATATGTATGTACATAAAAATATACATATATATATATTAGAGTATTGTATACATGTATATGTATTTATATTTATTTATTAACAAAAAAGTTCTTAGTAACAAACTTTGTATAATTGCATAAACAAGCAAATATTGATACGTATCACATTATCGATTTAATAAAAAATATTCCTACTTGTATATTTGCACAGTTTGTTTTACAATATTTTAATAGTTTGATACATCTTTCCTTCGAATCTGGTTCATAATGGGATCTTACGTCTATCTCAGATCTTACAAGTTCTTAGATGTTCTATTTGATAAAACGTCTCCAACATGACGATGTTAAATATTCGAGATTCGATTATATTGTACGGGTGAACATATATCGACCATATATTTCGAGAATCGACGATGGCAGAACACAAACCATCTAGCGCTGAATACGATGAAATAACAAAGCCGTCAAAAAGGCATATATATATATATAATACTTTTATATTGCTAGTCGCGTATCTTCGTAATGAGAGGCACGAGGCCCGAGAAAGAGACGCACGAAGTCCAAATATGGACATAGATAGTCGAGCGTCATTATGCGCAGGCGCATCTACTAAGCGAGTGCGAGCGAGACAAAGCATTGGAAAGTGAGACAGAAATAACGCGAGAAAGAAAAATGCTCAAACGTGCTTGAATGTTCATTCGCATATTTTGACATAAAATATCTCGTACATATTGTTTCAAATTTTCATAAAAATAAGTATTTTATCAATAATCTTCTTTTTCAGAAAAAAGAAACGACTGTGCAGAAGTAAATACATAAAAGGACGTACATAATAGATCAGATCAAATTGAATGTGAATTATAAGAAAAGGATAAAATAAAGATTGCACTGATGTCCACGCAGCTTATAGTCTTTTTGTATATATAAATAATACTTTAAAACACTCTTTTTTAAACTAATCAATGAATATAACTCTTTTTTAAATTTTTCTACCTGGAATTAATTAGAAAAAAATGTAATAGTAAAATCTGGAAAAAATTTTTTTAAGACTTAAAAATAAAATCTCACCTGTTATTTTATTTTTAGAGATGACAAAATGTGTTACAGTGGAATGTAATAAATGTCAATGAGCAACATGCTAAAACAATAGGATTAATCTAACTCTAATATTTATAATATTTATAATTTCAATTACATTAACATCATTATAAACAATCCTTTTAAGATTTTGTGCATGAAATACTAATATAAAATAATCAGAGTCTGTTTATTCTATTTTATTTAATTATTCTAGCACGATGTAGCTTGTCTCTGTGGCTAATCATGAAATAAATCCAAATAAATTCAACCATTTAATAATATTTTGATAGAATAATATTTTAATAATATTTTGATACTGTACCATTAAAGTGTCTGCATCTTCTTCTGACATTAATACTTCTTTACGCAAATGCGTTACCAATTTCTCTAAAGTAGTAATGCGTTTACACAGCGCTTGATTTTTTTTCTGCAGATTATGGATCAAATTACATTTCTCTTTATAGGTTTTGTTCACCATATTAATAACTCTTCGTGCTCTCTTAGGTGATGAAAAATCGGAAGTTGTAATTTCGGATATGTACCGAGGCTCTGCAAATCTCCGTTTCTTCGGAGTAGCATACAGCTTTTGCTGTTCGTTGTCATGACCTGTTATTAATAAAGCAACATGGATAACGTACAAACAAAAACAACTAAGAACGAAACAACTAAAAACGAATTAAGATATTGAGGTTCATGCAGTTAAAACTAATAATAAATTTCAAAGGTAATAAGAGCCGTTTGCTAGATGTTTTGCAGATAAATATATTTTTAAATATATTTATATTTTTAAGAGTGTAAATTCTTACACATTGTTTTTGAATTGAAATTTTCAATTCTTAAAACCCCATGTAAGATGCTTGATTTGCATCACATATATGAGAATACCCATTTTCTCTTCCCAATTAATTTTTTTCGCAATATAAGTTCTAAATTAATTGGAAAGGGGAAATAGGTATTCTCATATACGTGATGCAAATCAAGCATCCTACATGGTTTTAAGAATTGAAAATTTCAATTCAAAAACAATATGTAAGAATTTACACTCTTAAAAATATAAATATATTTAAAAACAACTAATTTTAGTATTTAGTATCCTCAATAAAACTAGTTAAAAGTTAAAAACTTACGTTTCTCTTGAATAACATCCTTAAATGTTGATGCAAACTCTGATTCCCTGACATTAGAAGTAACTGCTGTGAAAGTTGGAAGAGCATCAATCGAAGGCAATGATCCTATAAAACAATATGAATAATGGTGAATCAAAGCTGTTACAATTTTAGGTAATATTTACTAGCAACGTTAAAAAAAGTTAAAAGTTAAAAACTTACGTTTCTCTTGAATAACATTCTTGAATGTTGACTGGAACTGCAGTTTGGTAGCTGGACGATTTAGAACACCAACGGAAGGGACTGCTTCTGGTTTCAATAACCATTTCTTTTGGCACAGCAGATCCGTACTATGTCTATAGTCACTCTGTATAAAATGATCAGAGCATATGTATACATGCGTCACATTGTCCTTATCAGATAATTTGCAGGCATGCAACCATTGTGCTCGAATGCTCACTTCTTTTTTGGAAATCTGCAAATAATTATTTATCTCATCATGCTGTTAAATGTGTTATAAAATTTGCTTGATAATTTAACCTAACCATGTGTTGCAGCAAATGTAATAATATATGCAATTAAGTTAAATTAGAGAAAATAATAGCATTTTATAAATACACATTTTATGTCTAAGATATTTACTTGTGTATTGTAAAATTTGCATTTTTCGTTGCTTTCTTCTTGCACAAAAAACAAATTCGCACCATCGCGAACCATGTAGATTAATGAAATTATCGCCTGAAATTTGAAAAATCGCAATTTAGTTTTAGCTGCCGAATTTGCTATTATAGTACAAAATTGTGTGTTATAAGTATATAAAATTATATTCGCACATCTTATTATATACTTTATAGTTTACCTTTTCCTTCTTTAATTTTCTTGAAGTTTCTTTAATTCTTCGCAATTTTCACGTAACTGTTTCATACGATCACTAATATCACGTAGGTGCGTGATACGTATCACGGTGCATGTGATACGCATATCAACATGTTTTAAAAAATGTAAGCGCATGCTCACAAAGCAGTTGGACCTTGCGCGAGAGAGAGGCTACTATATTGTCTGCACCGTAACGTTTGGGCTTCAGGGTACCGATTGTGTATTTATGCGAAGTAGTGAAAATTACAAAAGTGAGAAAGTTTACTAGTTGTTGACTAATAAAATCACACAGATATTTTAGTAAATTTTCTCACTTTTGTCATTTTCACTACTTCGCATAAATACACAATCGGTACCCAGGTCGGCACCGTACTAGCAATATAGAAGTATTAAGCCCCTTGCACAATGGAAGGAATAGCAATAGCAATAGAAATAACACAGTTTTTAACACAGAATTTCAACTCGTCGGAAATTTTATCGCTATTGCTTATTCCGATTTTCTGATCTGCATTGATACATGTGTATTTTTGTATGTTAGATTCCGCTGTTCCTACCTTTATTTTTAAATATAAACTCTTTAAAACTTTTGTTATTTCTATCGTTATCGCTATTCCGTCCATTGTGCAAGAGGCTTTACATATATGCAAAAAGATGTTCGTTATGATTTTGTCACTAGATGGCGACTGCTGTCTATCGCTTCGACACATTTCGACGCGAGATATATCTCTACACTGAGGTCTCGTATCGATTAGCATCGAAAATGTAAGAGAGAAAAATTTTTCAAACATTTAAAAAATAGATTAAAATATTTATGATTAACAGATGATTATCTTTTTGTATACGCAATATTGTTATTTATTTATATCTTAATAAATATACACTTTATATCTTATTATTTATATCTTAATAAATATACACTATGTGCAAATACATATATGTACATACATATAATATTTGTAATAACACAAACTTAATATTGTTGTTGCATACGTACAACTTTTTCTTATACCTGTAGATGTTATCATTCAGTAACGATCTACATCTGTTACGTATACTACTCGTATTTTTCATTTATTCGCAATATCCACGTTATGAGAATGTACACATATAACATATACGTACAAGCGACAGGGGAAAGGTTTCTATGGTAACATTTACCGCGAAAATGAAAACACATGTCCGACAGCCACGTTCCGACTTTGCTCTGCGAGCCTGAGTTTTTCTCATCGTGGGAAAATGTCTTATCGCGATTTACGGAGTACGTAAATATTTGACATTTGTATTTCTGACGCGTATTATATATCTGTATTATTATTATAGTTGAGCAAAAACCCTATCTTATATATCATAAAATTGTGAACGCGCGACTTTTCTCGCGCAATCTGTTTTTTTTCACGATAGATTTCACGGAGATGATGAGGGTGCTGGGCTATCCGAGGCTGATCTCTCTCGCAAATTTTCGCGCGCCGAATTTTCCTCTGGTCGCGGAAATTCTTGTCTGGCTCGTGAAACGTTTTGACCCAGATGTCGATATACCGAGCGATCAGGAGACCGAGGACCAACGCGTGGCGCTGATACGCAGCGTCGCTGAGTTTATGGTAACAACGGATGTCACATAAGTATAGATTTGTCGTTTTCTTCGGTAAACTGGTATATAAGTGTGAGTTATTTTTTTACTAAATTAATAAAGTTTATTATCAACATATCGCTTGAAATATATCGCGTATTTATTTGTTTTTATTTAACGCATATATTTATTTTCTGTATGTATTTTTGAGATAATTAGAAATAAGTTTGTAAATGTTTCTTCAATAAAAAAAAGGAGCTTTATGATGTAAAATAGAATGGATGAAACAATTTATGTTTGCTAATAAATAAATGTTTATTGCATAAGACAAATTTCACACAATATTACACAGGCTGTAAAAACGAATGTGAGGCTAAACACGAAGAAGCTATATCAAGCCGACGGTTACGCGGTGAAGGAAATGTTGAAAATAACCACGTTGTTGTACGACGCGCAAAATAGCACCAGCATCGAGCAAACTCGACCGAGTAGCAATCAGAGTACGGTAAACTTTGATATATCTGATAAAATCAACGAACTGAAAACCACCCGGCAGCTCGCCAGTCAGTTAACCATCAATGGTGCAACTCTCTTTGATTTGCTTGGCCGGGAAGTGGAGCTTCGCGAGATTCGCAATACCAAGGTTGCTCGACAATTCGACACCTCGGAAATAGAAGTTGCCTTAAAAGACGTTATCGAGAGCACGCGTAAAGAAATTGACGAGACCAAGAAGCAAATCGATAATGTTAAGGTTAACAATTTGTTTGTACTCGTATTAAAATTATAACTCGTGAAAAGAGAGAGTTTGTTTCTCTCCGAGAACAGCAAGATTATTCTTTTCCACAGTCACGGCAAAAAAATAATTAATTGCAAAAAATTGTATTCAAATTCAATTCTGCGAAAATTATAATTGCAAAAATTGTAATTTTAAATTTATGTTTCACAGGATACGGAACAGAACTTGGACACGAGAATCGAGAGACGACGGACGGAACTCGATAGAAATCAAAAGAGACTTCAGACGTTGAAAAAAGTTCGTCCGGCATTCATGGAGGAATTTGAAAAGCTCGAGGTTGAATTGAGAGCTCTGTATGACGAGTATTTGCAGAAATTTCGTTATCTGGCGTATTTGGAACACGTGCACGAAGACGCGGCCAAAGCGGAGCAAGAACGATTCGAAAGACGGTGTGTATCTGTCGGAAGCGTGTTTTCTTTTATTTAGAATTTTAATTGTATGAAAAAAAAAATATATATATATATATTTTTTGTCTATATGCGTGTATACGGATTACTTTTCTAATTGCTTACTTCTTCTCATTAACAGACAAGCCGCAACGAAAAAGCAACTGGAGCAAATGAGAGCCGAGGATTCGAGTTTCGAAAGTATGATGGAAGGAAACGATTCTATATTTAGCACGAATCTTCAAGAATCCTTAGTTACTCCTCTCACAAACCCCGAGGCTGCGTCAGCAGAAAGAACTGTTGGTCAGTCCGCCCAGGTCAAACCAAGTACGTAACAATCTCAGACTTACTAGTAATGAAAACAAAAACTCGAAAAAAATAGATTTTTTCTTGATGTTTTTGAAATAACAAACCGAACGCATTTCAGACACCGCGAGAGCGTCAAAGATGCAATATACTCAGCGGCGTATTTACGGCAGCATGTCCGGACGGCGAAGAGGCACAATTCAAGAATCGAATGTCAGCGACGGCTCGCTGGACAGCGACAGTGATTTGCTGATCGACGGCGATCTCGACGACGACGACGACGAGGATCTTTTGAATTCCGTTGGCGCCGCGGACATTGCCGGCTACAATAAAGCCGGTCAGGAAAAGCGATCTGTCAGTAAGATAGACAGACATTCGGACGATGATTTTTAATTAAGGTTTTAATTAACATGATTTCTTTATTGATGTACATATATATCGTCTAGGGTTTTTTCTTGTAAGATACAACACAACAGAAATTTGTAAGAAAGAAAAAATTATGTATTTGTAACAAACGTCAAATCACAAACTTAAAACCACACGATGCAATGTAACTCTTAATAAATATATATGATACATGTAAATATGAAACATATTTGTATTATAAACGTGAACATATATTATAAATATAAAATATCTATAAGGAAAGAGAATTCCGGAAAAAGTTTTTAAAGCTTTTCAATATTCAGCGCTCAGAAGAAAAATTTCCGCATTACATTTTTCCGCATTTCACTTGTGAAGGAATCTTCTCTTTCCATAGATATATTTATTTGCCAACAATGTATTTAAATAGGTCGGATGACTGTGAAGAGAAAAACTTAATGTTTGAAAATAACTACTTCGTAGTTCTTCTAGATAAGCAACCGAGAAAAGAGAGAGAAAGGTGCATACATGTATATTGTCCTATTATTTATATTTATTCGTTTCGCCAACATAATTGTCAATGTCGAATACGTTTTCGAGCAACGATCACATGTATGTTCTTTACTTATCTCTTAAACGTCGTGTACGTATTAACGTACGTGTATACACATATATACATAAATGTGCGTGTATGTGTTTTACGTGTATGTGCGCGCGTAAGAAATATGAATCTTCATCATAGTTTTTAATAAAGTAGAAAGACTTTGCTGTGTGTGTGAGTGTGGTCGGTTACACAGCGGAGTTTTGAGTTATCGATTTTTGGCTGCAGGTAAGTAAATCTACAGTACTTGAAACGCGTTCTCTTTTTTTTTTTTTTACTAAGTTCGCTTGCGTGTGCAACTTCACCATCGACTTGTGTACTCACTTGTGCGTATGATATTCAATGGAAAGAGATCTTTTATAGCATTTGTTAATTGAAATAATCATCGTCTTTTTTTTTCGCTCCAGAGAGCAATAATCGAAAATAAAAAATAATAGAATTCAGTGTGGCAAGTCAACATATTTCACGAACTTTTATCCCTCTATAAAATGAAACAAATAAACAAAACAAATTGTCTTCATCTATACGTATAAAAAAAAAAACAAACTAACTTCTTCATAAACTTTTTCATATAAATTTTTTTTTTGGTTGGAACAAAATTCATGTTTTGATGAATCAAACGTCCTAAACTCTCCGACAAATTGAATCTTGAATTTAATAATAGTTCCTCGAAAATATTACGTGTTCTAAACTGTCTTCGTAGATCGAATATGTTTCTCTCTCTAATGTAATCCTAAATACATATTATACATACATTTTGCTATGCTAATTATTGATTTCTATGGGATATGCATAAGATACAATGTACGGATTTACAAGTACTTTGAACAAAACGAGAACATTTTACTCAAAATATAAGAGCAAATGTACAGATAATATCTAACGTTTGTGTGCTCACACTGTATTTTATCGCCAGCTGCTTGTTTTTTTCTTTTTCTGTTTTTTTTCTGTTTTTTTTTTTTTTTTTTTTTTTTAGACCGTGACTTAGGCCTTCCGTAATACAACTCCTCATTAACAACTGTACGAATTGTCGCAAATGATTACATTTGTTGTGCGAAGAAAAGTTGCACAATATCAGATACAAGAATTTGTATAAAATTGTGTAAGAGAGAAGCACTACTATGTAGCATCAAAAAAAAGAGAGACGAAACTCGTCTCTCTTGAGACTTTTCCCAGCAGCCATTCAGAAATCCGTCACGTAGAAAAATATGATATTAATTCGCGTTTTTCAGTTGGAAACGCTGCGGTCATTTCTTTCAGTTATTTTTTTATTTTTTTATTTTTTTGAATACGACAGTCTCTATTAATTCCCGTTATTAGGCGTATCCTCCTCTGTGTTTCGCAAAATTTAAAAACGCAGTCCGTCGTGTGAGAATTATATCTCGCGAAACGTGAATTTTGCCAAAAAAAAAAAAAAAACCAAAAAAGAAAAACAGATGTTCTCTGTTGCGCGCGGCTTCCACGTCTCTGAGAGATAACTAAGAGCCGCCGTAATTGTAGAAATAGGTCCTCGCGACTTTCGGCGTACCGGTAAAATTGCCAATGTCCCACATAATTTCTATCATGGTCTTTCGCTACCTGACCGACTTGCCGAGAGGATTGACTTTGATTCGCGGCGTTAGTATCGGGACCGGGTCGAGATCAGGTAACGAACATTCGGTGCGCAGCTCCGTCCACGTCTTGTCGACGTTCGCGGCAAGCCGATCCCTGTACTTATAGGCCGTCCTGTCGACCGTAGACTGCGTTTTGATACAGTCGTCGCCGCCGAACTCGCAGACGCGATAATGATGCAGAATGGCGGCGTCGGAGGGCACGTTCAGTGTTCCGTGACCCGGGATGAACTCCCAGACAAAGTGATTGCCCGCTTCCACCACATCCTGCGGCTTGCAGATATACTTGGAGCGTTGCTTGTGCGGGTGCAACTTGGTTCTACGTCGCGTTTTTCTCAAAGTTATCAGACCGGCTTCGGTGGGTGTGTGACTGGTCGCGATGAGCGGGTCGTCGGCCCATTGCAAATAAAAGAAAGCGTTTTGAAAGGAAAATGCGCCTGTAGATCTGACATTGATCCGATTTCCCATCCACCTGTATAACAAATAATTAACGCAACAAGAAATAGCAAACTCTTTTTCTCTCTTTTCGACAACATTAATTAGATAATTACAGGATATAAAATGTCGGTATTTTTGTGTCCGTTGTTGGAAATGATTAGAAAACAGTTTTTATGTCGTTTGATTCTATAAATGTGTGTGTGTGTTAATGTGCATAAATTATCTGTCATCCATTTAAGTGCCGTCTGCGTAAAATTATAGAACAGTTATTCTTTGTCTTAACGTGAAGAAATTATCATACCTCAATAGTTCGATAATGGTGTCGTTGTGTCTCGGTATAATGTACTCATCGAGATCTACGAGCGCGACGTACTCGTACTTGTACATAGATCGATAGAGGCAATCGTTAAGCGCCGCAAACAGGCCCTCCGTGCGAATTTCCCGTTGGGAAATCATGTCGAGATGATGCCACGGCAGCACCGTAACTAGATCCTTGGTCTCGTAATATTTCAGCGCGCAACTGGCCGCCGCGCCCACGGTATCGTTATACAGAGTGACGTGGGTTGCGCCCAGAAGTCTGTGCAACTCGATAAATTCCACTAGTTGCAGGACCTGTTATAACACATGTGTTTAAATGCATCAGATAGTGACGCTGCAACTTCGCAATGCAATCTGTGTGAAATTGCACGCCATATTTTATTTCACACCGATAAAAAACATACAATTTCGTATGTTTGACCGCCTTAAAGTGATGTTGCATAATATTGCGCGGTATTAAAAGTCACGTTCTTAAAGTCACGTGACAGGGAAAAGAGAAAAAACAACACTTTACTTTAGTCACGTGTCGTTAAAAACGTGACTAAGGAACAGTCACGTGACTTTAATTTAGTCACGTGACTTTAGTTTAGTTACGTGTCTTTAAAAACGTACAGTAAAATTAATTACGACCGCGAATATTGTCGCTTCTTATTTTCTAATATTCGCGCGATATGGAAGTACTTTCCGACGTGCGTAAGTAGGCGAAACTCATTTGTTATTCAACCGCGGTGCTCGATATAAATAACATACCCTATTGTAATAATAATGCAGTGGTTTGACGCAAACAGCTAGAGCTTCTTTGTTATTTGCTCGGCTTTCGTGACGATTTTGAATGAGAATGCGATTTGTCGGGGCAGCTCGCAGTCGCGCCACAACACTGACTGCTTCCGGCACGTTCTCCGCCGTCGGCGATTCTTTGGGCAACGGACAGATCACGAAGCAGGCGCTGTACTTGAGATTCCAATTTTCCCGGATCACCTAAAAGGTAACGCGGGATGTAGAGAGGGATGTTGTCCGAGCACAAACGATGTCAAAAATTCGGCCTGTGGTGTACCTTAACTTTGGCAGCTACTGTTACCGAGGCAGTGACATTCCCACCGTTTTGCTGTCGGTACCACAATCTGCACCAAACGCGCTCCGGGCTTCTGGTCTTGGTAGCGCTGATTACACGCACTACACCGTGACTTTTGCCCGGCAACATGCCGGCGCCGTTAACTTTGTCCCGGTCGTCAAAGTACGCCGAGTAAACGAAAAACTTGAACCTGAAAGAAACATACTGTGTGTGCTGAACGCCTATTTAACTCTCCGCGCAATTATTTGAACACGCAACACACATTATTTATTTTACAAATTTTATTGGAAGAAGCAACAATACACGTAATCTAGAAAGATTCAAACGAGAGGAAATATCGTTATTCAATGGCCGTTAATTATGGCGATAATTATCGCGCACAAACCGACGAACCTCGTGTTGGTGACTGGCAACCATTCGGCATGCGTGACCTTCAAATTCTGATCTAGCTGCGGCAAACGGGCCTCCAAGCTGGGCGGTAAGCTCGGTAAGCCACGTGGATCCGTGTGTACGGTCTTCTGTGCCCCATCCTCTCCGTGAACTAATAAACCAACGTGCTCGTCAAAGCTACCCTTCAAACCGGCATAATCCTCGGCCTGGGAACATCAAAGTTGTGATCACTTATACTCTCTCCGTCCCATATATCATAACTTATCGCACATTAATTCCGATTATCAAAAAACAAAAAACAAGAGAAATATTTTTCATCGCTAATAATCGCGATGTCACTGATGTGAAAAAAAAAAAAAAAAAATCACGCGCGAGAAACTGGCGGACGAGCACGCAACGTTCGTTCGAAACCTCGGAAATTCAGCTCGCGAGTTCGAGAGAGTTTTTAAACCCGAAGATTTAAAAAAAAAAAAAAAAATGGTCGACTTGCGAAAAGGAGTAGGAGGAGAGTTTCAGAGCGTTTAGCGTCTCTCCCTTTCTCTCTCTCACTCCACCGGCGAGATGATGCCTCGGACGGAAGAGATGTAAACGGATGAAGAAAGTTCCGCGGAATCGAGCAAACTAATTTGTCAGGTGGCCGCTCACTCGTATCCGTTTAAACTTTTCCACCGGCGCTCGTGTGTCTTTTCCGACGCCACGTTGGGGCGTCTCGTTGTCTCCCGGCGGCTGTTTCTCCTTCGGAGCCTTCTTTCGCGAGGGAGGTGAATCATTGTCCCGCAGACGGCGAGGGTGCATAAACTGTATACGCGCGCGCGCGCGCGCGTCGCAACAGGCATCGCGAAGAAGGGAAAGGTTGGTAGAGAACGGGGGGCGAAAGACGTCCGCCGAAAAATCGATGTCGTATTATATGGTTTGCCCAAGTTTCCGGTCCTTTTGCTCTCGAATCTTGCCTCGACCGACTATATGTTTGTACTTTGTTCGTGTTTTTCGCTGAGAGAACGAACGACGATACAAAGTCGCCGCTTCCTTAAGCCTCTCCGAGGAGGAGAGGCTTGTGGCTTTCAGTGGAGAATTTTCAGTGGAGAACACTTTGAGAGGATTATATTGCTCCGAAGAGAAAGAGAGAGAGAGAGAGAGAAGGAGGGAGGGAATATAATGGATAAAGGGATTAACGCGGCGCACATACAATGTACGTCGCGCTCTCTTTGTCCTTTGTACTTCATATAAATATTGCAGAATCGTTCTCCGGGGAGAAAACTTTCTTTACAAATATAAATTTTCGTATTATAAATCTTGAAACTTACTTAGTTCACCGAGCAGCTACTCTGAGCTCTTCTTCTTACAAAAGACAATATTTCTTGTTTCTCGTGCTATATGCGCGCGTTGTTGTACGTACGTGCGTACGCGCGCGCTCGTTTAATAAACTATAGTGCAAAAAACGTGGTGCCGAGCTCATACTTCGTTCCCCAGCCGCATTTTTATTTCGTTAGCAACTTGATCATTACACGCATTAATATGCTAATCGCGTAATTTAGTTCGAAGCGGCTCTACGCGCCACGTGGAATAAAATTCACTCCCGCGAGAGAGAATTTCTGAATAAAAAATTATTCCCGAGACTCCCTTTCTGTTCTCCCGCTCGAGAATATCCGTCGGTTCGATTACCAGAAAGGAAACCAGAGAAGATGTTTTCCGGAAAGTTACTTTTTAAGAATTGTGCCGCGGGCACGAGAATTCGAGAACCCACACAGGCTCTGTGCCCAAGTTTCCTCCTCCCGTTCTCCTCAATCCCGTCATCGTAGCCGCCAGCCATTGGTATAATTACGAGAGTTAAATGCCCGAAAGATTTCTATCTTTTTCGCGGCGCGGAAAATCGGAAACAAAGTTAAATATCAAATTATCGGATTCGCTAATTGCTCCGTGGGTGCGCGACTTGACTAACTTTTATTTCTCCATCGCGGTGACCACACACACGCTTTTTTTATTTTATCAATATACTGATATATAGAAAATAGATATTTTATATCTTTTATCGATACGAGAAATAGGATTTTTATATCTATATTTGAGGATAAAAGTTATCTCCGCGACTCGCTGTCTTTCACATCGCGCGTTTCGAGTGCCGCGCCGTAACACAACGAAAAAGTATATTATTTTTCGGACAACTCGAGAGAAACGTGCGCGAGAAGAGGAAGAAGAAGAAACCGGGAATCGATTTCTTTGCCGGAAGGAGAGAAAGAACGATTAAAGTGGCGTCGTTGTGTGTAACGTCTGAGGATCGGCTGAGGAGCCAAGTTATATAAATCGCTGCGGGAGAGAGAAAAAGTAGAATAATAAAGAAGAGAATGAGAGAGAGAGCGAGAGAGAAAAAGAGGAACACACAGCTCTCCTTTATATCTCTAAAAACTTACTCCCACTTCGCCGTAATCCGGACGATCGGGCGCAGCTGGCAATCGATGACCGTTCCTGTGGCGCCCGAGTACGCCGGTGCTGCCAATACTCACGCCGCGCCTCTCGTCGATCAGGAATATCTCCGTGAGGACGATCAGACCGAACACGGCGAAGAACATGACGACGAGCATGAACGACAGGTTGGCGCGCTCCTTAAGAACGCCGGCGTTCGCCCGGTTTCCGCCGGACCCTGATCTCCGGCTCGAGCCCATGCTCGAGGGAAGGCTCTGTAAAAACGCGACACATAATCATCAAAAAACTTCCATTACAAAATTGTATTCGTAAATAAGTGTCACATAAGCACGTGGGTCCAAATCGCGCGCACAAGTTTCGAATTTCGCGACAGATACGCGATATTTTTTGGTTAATATTCATACCCACACGTCTCTCTCTTTCTCTGTCTCTCTTTTCTCTCTCTCTCCGGCACGAAATTCTCTCCAATCTATTCGACGTGGAGTTCAAAACGTCGAGCCCGGGAAACTACGTTTCGCGTGCAGCGAGACGAGTAAAACTGCCATTCGATATCGTCCCTCGACGTGAATAAACAAATCCATCCCCGTGAAATGATACCTTTCGCAATACGATGTTTCTTGCGCACAAATGTATCGAGTGCGTATTGCAAACAAAAATGCAATTCGTGCGCGCCGTGCCACGCGCGAGCGGCTATACAAAATAAAAATTGTTGGAAATTAAAAAAAATTTTTTTCCGACAAAAAAAAGAAGAATACGTTCGGTGTGTTTTTTGTTTTTGTTTATTGTTGTTTGTTAATGTATATATTCGCCGCGCATAAATGTACGCACAACTTTATTTATTCATGCAAGAGAAACAATTTGAAAAATACGCAAAACACATACAAATGAGAAAGTTTATACAAGCAGTTTGCATAGTTACACAGTATAAATTTCACTGTCGAACGAGTTTTCTTCTATATTTGCATGTATCGCAACGACGACGACGACGACGACGACGACAGAAATAATAACGACGAGAGGAGGGTAATAATTGAGAAAATGTTTATTTTACCGACTTACTTAAAGTGATTCCAGGAAAATCGCTGCCAAGCATGAGGATGGTAGCTCCTTCTGTGGGAAAAAAATAATAATTGCGTTATTAATTTACTTTTTTATTTTTTCCGCGAGCGCGCGTCTCCGAGATAAAATATTTTGCAATTTGCATGCTTTCGCCTTTTTAATTTTAATATCACGCTGTTGCGAATAATTGACTTTTTAATATGTTTTAATATAATTGCACACAGAGCAGCGGCGACCTATGAATATACATAAATCGCAAAATAAAGAATTGCAAGCCGAAACGTGACCGCTCAAAAAATATAAATTTTTCAAGTATGACGTTCAGTTTGTTTATTTTTATGATCGACGCGCGACGTCACATAATAATTCACCTGTCGACTGTTGTATCGCGTTGTACAAAAATTTTCCCGCGCACCGTTTCATCTCTGGAATTTCTCATCGACTTTTCTCGTTAACACACACGTTGTAGTAAATTTTAAGGCAGTAATAAAAGGTAAAAAACAATTTATTGTGCGGTTGATTATCGAAAAAAAAAAACGACACGTTCCATAAAGTAAGACTTTTTTACGGCACGTAACTATCTACTGCTCGTGTGCGTTAACGCGAAAACGCCGCGCGTTTTAAGAATATTTTTCTATGATACATATCTGATCAGACACTGTGAAAAATCGCGACGGTTTGAAAGGTAGCAGCACGGAATACACGAGCTTACGACGGTCTACGCTTGTAATGATCGCGTGTGGAGTGTACTTTTATCGAAAAAAAAAAAAAAAAAAAAAAGAGAGAAGAAAATCTTCGCGATCGACCGATCTTCAAAATACACACTAAAAATCCAATTGGTTTCAGTCAATCGTAAAGTTAATAGACGTTTTGTCAACAAACATCGCTCTGTTATTTGCTCCAATTCGTTATACGCGATATGTAATTAACACACGCGGAAGTATACGTAAAAACATACGTGAACGTTTTATCAAATCGCTCGCACGATAGGTCTTTACGCGCAGATGCACCTCTGCAAATCTACGCGATCGTCATTAACTTTGTTCTCTCTATTTTTATTTACTTTTTTTTGCGATGTTTTTCAATTATAAAAGCTAAGCTCTCGTATATATATATATATATATATATATATATCGGGACGGACGTTAATGAAGTTCTCCTCTCGATTTAAATCTCGTCATAATTATATAAATTGTTGTGTCATTCCCTCCTGAAAGTAAACACTTTACTTCCAGAAACTCTGTCTCGAGCGCTTTTAAATAAACAAATGCTCTCTCGCGCGCGAAGTCTCTAAAAAGAAAAAAAGAAGGAAGGGGGAGTTTGCGTTGCAATTTATCTTCCAGGAACAGGTTTCATCGTTCACACACAGGGCAACAAGAGCAATGCGGTTACATCCGACTCCATCGTGTTCTGTGTAACCGACCCAACAAAAACACACGTTAGATCCCCGAAAATTTATACAGAGAATAATACGAGATACGGAGAAAGAGTCGCGACTTATATATAAATATATCTTTCGCTGACAACTAAATACTTTATTGCATTGTACATTTCCAAGATTTTTTTTTTTTTTTTTTTTTTTATTCTCCTGCCGAAATTGTCTATTTATTTTCGCGACGTTCGCGAGAAGAAACGATAGCCGTGAGTGTTGCGAAGTTGTTTCGCGACTACGTGAAAATGAAATTATCTCACACACAACATTTTCTCTCGACGAAATCTAAATTTATTTTAATTGCAACGCATCTCTCGAATTTTAACTCGCGGTTTCTTCTTAGCATTCAATTAACACTCGCGCGCAAAACATATTTTACACCTCATGTATTTTTAAATCGACTTTCCGCGCGTAAATTACGTTCGCGGGATATTTTTCCCGTAAGAGTTAAGCACCTCCGCGCTTTTACACACACATGGCGAACGTGAATAATGGGCAGGTTGATTGTGTTTAGTTATACGTGTACAGTCCGCGCGTTTGTACTCTTATCACATTTTCACTCTTTCTGAATTTAATCTCGAGTCGCGCTCTCTTTTCCTTCTTTCGCTTCTCCGTTAGAGAATTAAACACGGCGCAAAATACATTTGCACGTAAAAGCTCTTCCGCTCGAACAAACGAAGCAATAACGAAATAAAACTTGTATTACATACTTTCACATTCGACAGATTAATTTTAGGAGCAACTTTTTTTTTTTTTTTTCTTCAAACCTTTTAACGATTTTCCATTCAGAACGTAAGCGCGCTTTTACGCTCTCTTTTATAGAAATCTTTTATATATACGCGGAAAAAGTTCAGCGAGTAAAGCTGCATCATATATAAGTGTTACACCGATGAATAACTGATCAGCGGAGACTCGCAGTGAATAAATCCGTCGTATGGTCAGACAGACACACCGGGCGCGCAATCCGGCGCCTGTGATCTGACTCCCCCATCACGGAGGGGAGGCCCACGATGTGCTTTTCAACGTCGTTTCATTCCGCTCCGCTCCTTTCTACACGCATCAAAGAAACGAAAAGCCAGGAAACTCTCGTTTCCACCGTATTACCGTCGTATTTTGCATGAATAGTGAGCCGCGTATGCGCGCGCGCGACCTGAAGATCGCGACGCCGAGTATCGCCATAAATTAGCAACGTCATTTAAAGCTTCTGCCGGCAAATACCATTACGTCACGATGTAAATGAGCGACGATGCACTTTAATTACGCGCAACATCAAAAGCGACGCGACATCACACAGACATCTTCCGAATAAGAAGGCGGAAATTAAATTTGCGAGAAGATCGTTTCGTACTGAAACAAAGAATGTGAAAAACGATTTTTCTTTTTCTTTTTTTTTTTTAACTTGAGAAAGGATTTAAAAATCGCACCGTGTGTATTTTAAAAGCATTTTCTTTTTTTTTTTTTTTTGAAATCCTTTTTCTTTTTTAAAACCGTCGCTCTCTCACGAGAGACTCGGGTTTTTAACAAACTATTTATTTATATCCTCAGCCCTCCCTGTAAGTAAATCATCTGTGCGAAAGTAACGTTTATTCCGTATAGTCTGCGGATCAATGAGTGTATTTTCTATGAAAGAGAGAGAGAGAGAGAGAGAGAGAGAGAGAGAAACAAGTCATCTCAGTCTCACCTTCGGTAAACCACTTTTTTCCGAATTTAATTTCCACTAAATTTCGAAACTACATGGGCGGAATATTGCGTAATTAACAGTTCTCTCTCGGTGTATTAATTTTTGGAAGTTATATCGCGCACGGAAATGAACGCAGAGCGAGGGAGGCCTTGAAGAGGGGGAGGCAATCCGGTCAGTTTGACCGCAACGGATATTATTTCCTTCCGCCTGTTGCGTCGAATCGATTTCCTCGACTCGGCCATAATATGTTCGAACATCGGAAGATTTCCACCGCTTTCTGACGTCGTGACCTGTGGGTAACACGAGAGACGCGCTTGGTTGAGAGAAGAACCATGAGCATCAATCCCTTTCTCCGACGTTCCGCGTATCGTCCGACGACCGCCGTCGCGTACGTCAGACCGCCGCTTCAAAAGAATCTTTCAGAAATGCGGTTTATCTTTGGAGAAAAATCTCGGGGAAGGTAATGCTAACAGTGTAGGGAAATTTATATACTCTTTCACCGTCAGAGAATAAGTGTGTACACTGTGTGTGTGTGCGTACATATGCATATATATATACACATATGACGTTCTTTGATATTCATCTACAATCTTACACGTAGGAGCTGAATATAAAAGCGATTCAGAATTGAGAATATCCGGATAATCTCGGTTCGCGGAATTATCCGCGAGATTACTCAGACTACAGATATTCTCGAATTCTCCAAACAATTTGGATCGTGATGTGAAATTGTAGTATCGGAGTTGTGTGTGTGTGTGTGTGCGACATTTGTCGATACGATCTTCGAACCGTACGTATTAGACTGATTCATAAATAAGTAGCCGATTCATAAGTAAGTACGTGATAAATGAAGATAAATGTAAAAATCATTAGGTGAACTTGCAGGAACTTCGAATTATCTCGGAAGAAATATAGATTATTGATGAAATCGGAATTTATTTATTAATCAATTCAACATATGTGATGTATTTATGTGAATTACGTGTACATCTAGTATCTATGTTGAAAAGAGAAAAAACAGAAGACTAAAAATATAGGGCGTGGTAAAAAAAGGGATTGTATTAATAATATTGCATAATATACTACGATAATATACTATTAATAATATACTATAATAATGTACTATTAATAAAGTGAAATAAGTAAATTATCTAGTAATTCGAAAGTAGAAAAAAGGAATGTTGAGTTTCCTGATATTTCTAAAATAAAATTTTTTAAAATTTTCTATCAAAAAGAGCACATAAAGAAATTCCACATAACGATACAAAAGAAGCCTCTCTCTCTCTCTCTCTCTCTCTTTCTGTGTATATACACGCATATAATATATATTTATATGTATATTAGTATACATTAGTATATGTATATATTATACATTAATATATGTATATATTGTACATATGTATATAGAGAGAACGAAATTTTATACATATACGCAAATAATTTTACATTATATTCAGATAACGCGGATATATCTGGCGTGGTTTGCAATTATTATTCACAGAAAGTAGGCCACTCGTGCGCGCGCGTCTAGTTTATATTCCCGGTGTGTTTTAGCGCTTGATCGCGTAATACGAGTGTTGTATCAATAATTTTTATTACACAGATCACTCGATGCCCCGCATCTGAAATCAGAGAATCTCGCTGCATTTAACAGCGCTGAAAATGAATGATTCATTAAGAACGGAACACGAAGGCGGAAGTGATTTATTTCGCGATGGAAACAATAAAGCGCCCGGGATCTATCCTGACGTTGTTGTGCCGCCCGCGCGTTGTGCATCGTCGATGAAATCGTCGTTAATTGCGGCGCAACTGTTGTTCTTTGTCGAACGACATCAACTGACAGTTTAATTGCAAGTTGAGTGACGGGATTTTTGCAATCCGCGGAAACGAACGACGATAGCGATCGTTCTCGTGGTTATAATTAGAAAATTTATACAAGAAAGCTCGAGGAAAAATTATAACAAAAGGCAAGACCTCTCTTTTGTGAGCGTGAAAGATCCGATTGCGATGAGATCGTGCGATTAATTTCTTTCAGAAAGGGATGGTAAGAAATCTAAAAGGTAAAAGCAATCGTAAGTCCACAATAATACTTGCAAATATCATTGTTGAAATATACAAGTTTTCAACTTTTGTAAAATAATATCTTCAAATGTACGAATTATACAAACTTAGAGAGAGAGAGAGAGAGAGAGCGTGTGTGTGTGGGCGCGTGCGTGTATTCTGTTACTAGATGTATTTAAATTCTATATTTACATAAAAATACGTTAACAAGAAAATATGTTCACGCACAAACAACATACGACGACATAAATTTTAAATCTGTATTGGTGCATTTTTCGCACAAATTTAATATGTCGTATTTGTCCTCGAGAACTTTGATTACATATCGATCGTCATCCACAGACCCATTATGTACACGCTCTCATATGCACGTATTTGCAGCATTGTTAAAAGAAATCAATAACACTCCAATAATTCTCTTCTAACTACGTGTCCGCTTAAAGTTGCAGTTGATTACTCAGCGTTCTGTGTGTGTACACGAAGAGAAAAAAAGAGAGAGAGAGAGAGAGATCTGTCTCTTATCGATATTGTAACACAAAGTAACATATTCCCAAATCGAACTATACAATTCTATACGTGAAAAAGTAAGTCACGCCAAGTGACAAAAGTTGTTTTCTTGCGAGAAATCTATTTTTTTATAAATCCTCGCCGTTCCATTTAATTTTTTTTTTGCTCGAACTTCTCCGTGGTACGACTAGCATGTCATAATTGCTTTTGTATTATTCATTGAGGTGATCGTCCATCGTGTTGTATTTTATCGGGACAGTTCCAATTTTCGCTTCTCCCGTTTCACTTTTTGCACACGTGTGTACACGCGCAAAATACGCGCAGAAATTTAACAGCTAGCTCCCTCTCTCTCTCTCTCTCTCTCCTCCCAGCGCTTTTTTGTTCTTTTCTTTTCGCTTATAAAAAACGGAATGTCGAACCGAAATCGGCGACGAAAAGTCTCTCCGGTTACATCGCGTTTACGAATTCTTTTGTGTTCGCGATCGCCTCCAAACTAAAATCGCATCTGTTGCTCTTCTCGAAAATCGAAGGCGCAATTGAATGAAATTTGCGATCGATCGGCGAGAGACATGAGCCCGCAATCTTCGATGACGAGCGTCCACGCGAGGTTAAACCAAATGTCAATAAACGCCTTCGTAATATTCCTCGCCGCGTGCGATCTCGATCTACATCGCAAATACCCTAGCGTGACAACAGAAACAAAGACAAAAGGACACGATTTGTCTCGTACGAGTGATGTTACACACATAAGTTTCGCTAGAAAAAAAAAAAAAAAAAAAAAAAAACGCGCCGATACTCGCGCGCGCGAGCGAGCGACACTTAATCCTCTTATCTCGAGGTCGTTTTATCTAGTGTTCGCGCTTACGAGATTACATAAAACGCCCAATAAAGAAAAAATTGGTTAACAAACCGGTCGGGTGGATATCGGAAAGACGACAAAAAAAGGGGTCAATTTTTCGTCGTTCATTTCCGACTCGTCGAACATGTGCGGAAATGGAAGAGAAGAGCGTTGACGAAAGTCTCTCGCGAAGAATTAAATTTCACGCATGTTATCGCACGTGTGTGGCAAAAATAATAACACAACGTATGTACACAATTTACACGTAACCTTGCCGAACTTGGTTGTAACAGCGTCTCTCGTCTTCTTTCGCCTTTTTTTGCGAACGTACACAATTACGATAACTAACGATAACGACGACCGAAGAAACAGAGTTTCTTGTATACCTACACACAACTCCGGAGGGGAGATCGTTAAAGGAAGTTTACTCTCGACTTCCGTATAGATTGTTGTAGAGTATTACGTCAAACAAAGAGAGAGAGAGAGAGAGAGAGAGAGACGAGAGAAAAGAGAAATGTGAACTTGCTGTAAGATTAATAATTAACGCCATAGGCTCGTTCGCTCGTAGTCCGACCGGTATATCAATCAAATATAGAAAATGACTTTTCTCGACGGACGAACAAATTTTCTAATGAAATATGCAAACCGTCGGATGAAAAATTGTCCGGCGCGTAATCATCGCATCGAAAGGGGAAAGAGGGAGAGGACGACAATTGATAAGGCATCGCGCGCGCCTGAATCATTTATTCGCATCGGCGACTGCATTTATCGGCGATATCTTTATCAGCGACACGCACGCACGTGCGATGAAAATCGGACAAAATCCGATCCCATCCGGCGATGACATAATCGAAAACGTGTCGTGTGGAAAATCTCTAACAGAGAAAGAGAGAGATTGTGTGTAACATACGTATAGTCGCGCGATAAAAGGCAAGCATGGCTCATCATCATCTCGACAACAATTTCAGCCACAAGATAAACACGCCGTGCGTTTGTTTTCGAAAAAGATATCGCGTTATCCTGTTTTTTTTCTTGCTGGTAAATCTTCTCGAGACACATCTCGAAGAGTACATATTTCTAGGGCGCGATTCTTCTTTTTTTTTTTGAACACATTACAAAAAAAAAATAATATCTTTTAATCCGCGTTTGCGACGCGGACCATATTCGCGAGGGAAGAATCAATTACCGCGCGGCTTAATTAATATCGTATCCCTTCCCCTCCCCCCCCCCGATCTAATAAACCTTGCCCTGTAATAAAAGCAACCACCGTGCGACGCGCGTGTGCGAATGTAAATTAGCGCGAATTATGCATTTATCATGAAAAACTCCGCGCATAAACTCGTGACAGAATTAATGAAATAAACATGAAATTTCCTCGCGACGAGAGGAAAGATAAATCGTCCGGCCTTATATAGGTCAAAGGGGCAATGTGGATATTAAAGATTTCTACCGCTTAATCGCTCTCTCCTTTCCACATGCGGAATCATAGGGTCCGATTTCCGGAATATTTCTTCGTGTTGTTGTTTCTCTTCTTTCCTGCGAGAAAAAGCGCGAGATAATAACAAATTGCTTAATTACGCGAGCGCGCGATTCCCGCGGCCGAATCAATCCGGCGCCAATCCGGGATCATATCTCCGTCTCGCACGCGTGAGACGTTGAGGGAAAAAGGCGGAAGGCGAAAATAAAATATCGAGCGTATCCGTTCGGCGACGCGCGCGGTACACCGACCTCGGTTGCAGCAGCGCGGCGCCTTGCACCACGATCGCGCGCGCGGTGTATCATCGCCGTGTATCACGTAAAAGGCGGAACGCAGCACCCTCTCCTCCCCCTCTCCCGCCCCGGAATAAGGGTGATACCTGGCCGCAACGAGCTATATCGAATAAAAGATCAGAAAGCGAGAAAAGCTGTGTTACTCACGGTTAGCGTTCGAGATCCACGCGTCCTGTCGTGCGGTTTCTCGACTCTGACATCTCTTCTCTGACAGCTGTCATCACCGATACGGCGCTTCGTGTTGTTCATATCGTCATCATCACGACGACGACGGCGACGACGGCGACGACGACAGTGTCCGAACGTCATCGACCATCAAACGAGTAAACAAAAACGTGTGCAGCGAGCTGCGCCCTTGTCTCTTCTCTCTTCGTGACACGCTCGCGAGAGAAAGTGATTCGCAAGGGTGCGAACCGCGTGCGACCGGAGAGCCGCACAACACAGACTGCACCGAGCGGTTGTGCAGAGACACGAGCGGGTTAGAGACGAACAGTCAGGCAATCACACGCACGCGTGCATGCATACAAACACCACGTCCATCCTGTCCGCGGGGGCGACGACGATTCTTCACCGAGCGCCGCGCCGAGACGAACACGACGAGTCGGAACAAGCGAGCCGCGCGAAACCAAACTGTCCGTCGTCGGGCCGCCGCCGCCGCCGCATCGATCCGAGCACCCTCTACACCACCCGCGAGCTGCGATTGGCCGCGCGGCGCTTCTGCCGCACGCCTGCGCACGCCACGCATCACATACCCACCACCACCCACGCCTCGGAAGGGCGCGCTCGAAATTCGGTGGGCGAAAGTGACGCGACCAAGTGTTCTCGCAATTGCATTATCGTTCTTTTTTTTTCTTTTCCGCCGCGCTCTGCAACGCTCAACGGATTTGGATCGTTGATAAACGGGCGATAAACACGAGCCGGCGATTGCGCTCGAAATGTTGCCCGTCTCGCGAGTGTGTGCGCGTTTTCACAAGAAATAATCGGCTCAGCGAGAAGTCGCTACCACGCACAAATATACCATGCTTTTGAACGCGTATGGCGCGCTAAGAGGTGAGAAATATTGGTTTTGTTTTCATTGTTGTGCGAGTGTACGTGAGAATGTTCGCGTCGAGAATCGCGTGATTACTAATTTCGCAATAAGTCGGTTTTGCGAAGCTCTGTGAATGCTTGAGTATTATGACACAATACGCGCGAGTGTGCGCGCATGCGCGAGAAAGAAAAAAAGGAGAAAGAGAGAAAAAATGGTTACAATAATCGCTGTTATAATGAAACAACTAATCGACGATATATCTTTACAAGGTCTCGAAACATTTGCATTGCAGAATAATTTTTCGAATAACTTTACGTACAGAAGCGTGTGTATTATCATTTATAGCAATAATTTATTCCTTTCTCTGTAAGCCAAGAAGTGAAAGTACTCGTGTCAGCTTTTTTTTCTTGCTCGTAATTGACGGATCTTGGATAATTATCAAATGACCTAAAAAAGAAAAAAAAATAGATCTTGCAAAGGGACGCTGTATAAAAAGGAAGCGCAACAAGCCGTTGATTGTTTGCTGATGTATCTTGTTTATCTTCTTTCTGATGATAAATGTGATAAATAACGCTGTCAATAATTCGCATATTTCCGCAGTTTGCAGCATATTATCTCGTGTGTAGCGAAAGTATACAATTGGAAAGTATACAATTTCATTATCGAGCGCACACACCGTGAAAAGACATTAGAAACGCCAATGAAAAGATCGCCAATTTTTTTTTCCAAAAATTATATTTAATCATCATTAACATATTAATTACGTGACACATATACGCGTTAACACACATAAACGCCGAATAAAAAAGTCAATTAAAAAGTTTCTTGACACATCGTTGTCGTAAAATTACGGATTTGTTTTTTGTACATTATCAGTTGTGAGCGCAAACACTTACGTTGTTAATTTTTTTTACATCGTTAAAGTATTATTCTTTTCGTTAACTTGTGAACAAAATAAAATATTTGATAAAATAATATTTTTTTTGCGGTCTGAGCGGCGAAGCAAAAACGTTGCCCGCTCGCAACCGAAGTTCTCGCTCGAAACGGTGGAATTGTTAATTTATCGTAGAAAACGCAACAAACGCACAGATGTTTGTTGTGGCTTTGTAACTCCTTCCGATCAGCAAACCTCAGTCTCGCCTGAAAAACAAAAGCGACACACGTGCGCGATTAATATCGTCGTTACGAACAAATCTGTGGCGAGGCAAATTTCTCGTCAAGATATTCAAGAATTATTGCTATAGAAAATATCGTTGCACGGCGCAGTTTTTATGATTAAAAAAAAAAAAAAAAACAAAAAACAAATGTACATATTCCTCCGACAAGATCGATTAAATTTTCTTCACCGAGGGAGCTGTGCGCGAGAGACTTTTTTGTTTATTTCGTAGCTGCATCGTCGCGGCAAATTTGACATACACCGAACATATTTTAATACGCGCGCGAGGGGAAGATTTATATTTTGCGCGAGATGAAACAACGAATTTAAAGAGAAACACACACTGCGAGCTGGCCGTTACATCACTCCCATCCCTCGGTTGTCGTTACACGATAGAAACAATATGGTGTGTATACGTTCGTGGAGTGCAGCACCGGTGTGTGTGTGTGTGTGTGTGTGTACATATACATATAAACCCAGCCAGAAGGGTGAGTTTCCACGGGACGGGAAGAGAGAACGCGGAGGAAGAGCCGTCATAAGTGATTCGGTATGCGCATACGTGATGGTGGTAGGTCGCCGCTGCCGCGTAAATGCCCACGCTGTTCGATCGCAAACTGCATATACACGTATATATACAATACATACATGGATGTAAAATCCCTCTTCGGTGCGAGACTTCACCGAGAGAGAGAACATTGCGCGAACACAGGGTACCCCCGCAAATACGTGAAACAACGACTCGGGAATTTCCATCGATCGAACGCGAAATGCATTCTCTATTGATCCCCCTCCCCTCTCCTTCAAGGAGCTATTTCTTTTATTTCTCTCCCTTTTCGGTTTTTTGTTTTTTCGAAAAACAGCAGAGACGTTGTGAACTCGCGAGCGAGAAGGTTTACCCGCTTCTCCGAGTTTGTCGCGTCGCGCCTGATAATACGGCAAATTTTCGAAGACGTCGCGAATCATTAAACCTTCTCGGAGGGTTATATGTGCCGTGTCGGGGCGTGTCCTTCTTTGAAAGCACAGCGCTGCTCGTAAATTTGCAAACTTGCAGCAGCGCGTCAAGTCGAGCTTGATAAAGAATTTCGAGAGACGCTGCATATCTTCGCGCATCTCTCGAGTATTATCGAGAAAGAACGGGAACGAACGGGGTTCGTAAATTTGCGGTGTGATGCGCTCCGTGTCCTTCTTTCTCTCTCTCTCTGTGTCGTGTCCCTTCTCTCCGTCAATCTTGACGATGCGGATAAAAAAAAAAGAACGCGAAACTTCGAACACACAAAAGAAAATCCGCGATCGGAAAACCATCGAAGGCGGGTGACAAATTGTACCTGAAAATATCTGTACTAAACTGCCGGACGATCTGCAGTAGATCGCGAGGGACGGGTCGTAACTTATCAAAGTCCGCCTGGCGTCCTCGCACCAGTTCCAAAAAATGAGCTTCTGATCTCGCAGCGCGAGATCCGACAAAAGCAACGCTAGATTCTTCGCGACTGTGGCATCAATCCTGAGCACGTGACGACCCTCTATTACCACCGGCAACTTTCCCGGCTTTTTGTCGCACCTGCAAAACACAAAACAAAGTCGAGAAAAACAGCGGTCGGAACAGTAGTTCTTTTTCACACACCGGGTGTCCGGGGAAAAAGTGCAAAAAATACGCGCAAAACTACTCTGACGACACAAAGAGTGTTTTTTGCGCGTATTATAAATTATTTATATGTTAATTTTTTCGCGACGTGTAAATCTGTTTTCATTTTTAACGGTAACATCGAGTCTCGGCGTTTAATTCAGAACAGAATTCTCATTTATATAAAAATTACGCAAATAATAAATGAGTTTAGTTCGTATATTAAATCCGAGGTGAATGTACGTCTAGTTTTGCCGCGTCCGTCAATTTGACGGATATTTGAAAAAAAAAAAAAAAAGTTTTATTCGTTGTCATTTTTAAATTCGTTAATATTTAAATAATTGACAAAAAACCCTTTCAACTACAAAAATTCGACAAGATTTTCAACGTACATACATGTGAACAAAAAAGCGCATCTTTGCGATTTACAGTAAGAAATCCATCATTTTGACGAGTCCGGTTTTTGTTCCTGTTATGTTGAATATACTTTTTCCGCACCCGGTGTATCCGACGCGCATACGAAGTTTCAACGCGGAATTTCAACACAGGACTTACCACGACATTACCCGCTCACGGAGATACTCTGCGGCCGGGAAGCTCAGGGATTGCTTGGGCGATACGAAGAGCACGGTCAAACCATTGACGATCCGCTCTTCGATCAATAGTCCGGGCCGGGCCGCGAAATATAATAAGAGAATTAAATTTACCGCAATACCGGCGATCATGCCGTACTCCAAGCCGATGGCCAAGCAACATAATAACGTCACCGTCAACGGCACCAAATCAATTTCTGTTCAACACAGAGAATGGGAAAGAGGAAACTAGATTAACCGCATCGAATAATTTATAACGAGATTGGATATATAACGGCTTAGCACACACAACCCCTCCCCCTCCCGGTGTTACATAATTGCTCTACTTTATCGCGCGCGTCAAACCTCCGCAATAAAGTTGCTCTACGTATGTCATTTGTTGCAACGTCGAAAGCGCAGTCTCGCGTCTCTTCAAAAAACACAAAAATGTCGCGAGAGAATTCATTTGTCTGTTTAATTACAACTTGCGATATCTTCTCCCAATATTTCCAAAGCGAAATAGCTTTTGCAACACAAAAGTTTTTTGCACGTGTAAAATAATTAAAAAAATTGTAAAAGAAACATAAATCGTTTTATCAAGAACCAAATTAAATTTCATATTCCTTATATTGATTTAGAAATATAACGCCCAAGTTTTTTACGTTATTCTCACATCATATATACGTTCGAGAGTAGTAAGAAAGTACTACAAAGAACTACTACAAAGAAGTAAGCTCTTTGAAAAGTTATAATACCGAGTTCCGTCCGGGCATAAAATACCCGAGAACGATGTCTAGAATGAAAAGCATCAAATTATTGGAAGAAGCTAAGCGATATATCTCTCTAGTTGCAAGTAGTCATTTTTGATGTATCGTATATATGTATATCGGTCTTACTTTTCGTTCTCCAGAGAACGACGAAAACGCGCACCTCGAGCATGTAGAACATCGCGATCATAATAACAGCCGCCAGCGTGGGTTTCGGAATGAATTTGAAAGTGGACGTCAGCAGGCCGCATGTCAGGAGCACCAAGCTGCCGGTTATTACACCGCCCATTGGTGTTTTGACGCCGGACGCGTTATTAACCGCGGTGCGAGTAAAACTTCCGGTCGTGGGCATCGACCTCACGAAACTGCCGAACACGTTGCAGAGACCGAGCGCCAGCATCTCCTGATTGGCGTCGAGGGTCTTCCCTTTCGCTGAAAGAAATATTACGTCGAACGTGTTCGCTCTCGATCTACTTCTTTCATTGCTTGATCCCGCGTATTGAAAAGAGAACGGAGCGAGGTATTGAAAAATAAAGTTTGTGAGGAACAAAAAATTCACTTACCGAATGCCTTCGCGATGGCGACGCTCTCGAGAATTGCGATGAGCGGTATCGAGAGGAGGCTGCTGCCGAGCTCGCTGATCAGTTCTACGAAACCGTACGTGCGATTCCCGTGTACAATGGTGAACGGTGGCAAGGAGAACGGCGGCAAACCCTCGGTTATGTTACCCGTAATTTGGAAAGGTTGAATACCGTGATCGTACAGCACGTAGGCTATTAGAATTCCGATCATCACAACTATGGCGTTTCTGGCCAGGGAGATCACCCACATCAATCTCTCAAAAGGCGTTCCCAACTTTTTGCCGGGCAAATTCTGTTTGCAAATATTCGCGCTCGATTATTAATTGGATTGATTTCACAGCTATTTGTATATTTTATTTATTTCATTATAAAAACAATCCTTTTTCCACGGCTTGATTATATAATTATGATAATTAAATATAATAACTTTTGAGAAAAGATGTGAAACACACGAGACATTATAGAACATTCTCAATTGAAAGGAAATTTTTTCTATTAAGGAAAGCATTTATTGAAAGAAGATCAAATTTCTCTTCGTAATCCCGCGACGTAATCTGATCGTTTTACCTTGAGAAGAACCAGCGCCACCATCGAGCACACCCCTAGCACCATGTCCCAAAGTTGGGTCTCGGTTATATGCTCGATTACTTTCCTAATAGCGTCGATAAAAGAATCGCTGCGCCCTTTTATGCCCAGCAAAGTACCTAATTGAGAAGTGGCAATGATAATAGCCGCGGCATTGCTAAAACCGCAGATCACGGGCATGCTTATAAAATCCACGAGAAATCCCAAGTGAAGTACGCCCATAATTGTGATCACGACACCCGAGAGAAAGCTCACGAGAACCTGAAACATGATTTTATTATTTGGATTTGTATAGAAAGTTAGAAATAAAACAATAAAACGATATATTTTTAATTAACAGTTTAAAAACATTGTTAATACGTGTAATACATAAAATGTTATATAATGAAGGAGGTTTTGTTTTAATATTAATAAAATAATACACTGAGAGAGCAGAGCGGCGCATTATATTAACACGAAATTAAATTGAAGATTTTATGAGTATTTTATGAGTTTTAATATAAAACGGAAAGAAAAAAAAATTGGATCAATTGAATTATATAAATTTTAATTTAAATTTAATTTTTGTGATAGAAAGAGAGACAGAGAGAAAATAAATGGAATAAATTTAATAAACTTCACTTACGGCGAGATCTGCCCCCACAGTCATCACGTGCTTCTGTACCAATAAAGCCATTATCGCGGTAGGACCCACGGTGATGTCCTTGCTGCTACCGAAGACGAGATAAACGAAGCATCCCATGAAACTGCTGTACAGGCCGTACTGAAGTTTTCAAAAGTTCACCTAACGAGAATTGTACCTTTCCAACTATGGTATGGATCAGATCGGGGAAGACTCGCAACGAGGGATTTTCAAAATGCTCGACAAATTCAATTAAACGAGAGAGAGAAAGAGAGAGAGAGAGAGAGAGAGAGAAAATAATTCCACAAGAATACGCAATCTCCATCAAATCGGAATTACGAGATCCAATTTCGAGATCGTGAATAATTTTTCACCTCGGAAACTATTTCGGAACTATTTTACAACGTAATCGTTAAATACGCGAGATTCGGTATAATATAATGTTTCGAGAAGTATTCTAAGTATTGCAGTTCACATTAAATATTACCCACCACTTCCATCGATAGCTTCTTTAAGGTCTAATTTCAAACAAAAAAAAAAAAAAACAATTTAGATTATTTTAAGTACAGTTTTACGGAAATTGTCTCGCGATAATTTCATCGAGTTCTCGAAGATCTGCCATTGAGAGATTAAGCGCGAGTTCTAAAATTTAATGATAATTTCAACTCGTGCAAGTTCATATGTACGTTATACATTATAGTTCGTGTCGCGTACGCACCTGAGCCGGAAGTCCAGCTACTATTGCATACGCTATACCCTGCGGTATCGCGGTCAGACCCACTGTCAGCCCCGCCAGAGTGTCGTGCAGAAGTTTGCTCCAACTGTACAGAGGTAGCCATGCCAGGATCGGTATTCTTCGTTGAAGGAGACCCTTGAGGTCGCAACTCCAAGAGAGTGTGCCGGTCGGCCCTGTATGATTTATTACAGAAGAACGTGTGCGTGTGTGTGTGTGTGTGTGTGTAACGAACGTAATGAAAAACGATCACGAAAGCAGCTAAACCACACAATTCAAGCCAATTTTGTGATTAATCGCACAAGAGTGAAAAAAAAAAGTACGTTCGCATGAAAGCGTGAAATGCTTATTTATATAAGAAAAGAAAAAAGAAATGCCGTGATATAACATACATGTTTGCTTTTTGTTGTATATCAAGTTATCGGTTTGCAATGACAACCAATGATCAAAATTGCATGTTTGACAAACTCTGTAGATATTTATATATGCAGTATATATATACACGTCGATTATTTAAGCAGCTTATCGTCATTGCCTCTATATCGTGTCATGGATTGTGTAAACTAATCATAGCGCTTGCCTATATACATGTACACAGTTTGTCCGGAAAGTTCCCGGACTACGTGAATTAAAAATCGAAAATGAAAGATATGGTTTATTAAACAAGTTTACACTTCAAGG